GATCCCACGGCTAATCACCCGTTTTCATGACAAAGGGCATCCAAAGAAAGACGACGAGGATGATGAGACGGATCAGAAGAGGATAAGAGCAAAAGTGCACTACCTAGGAAGGAAAGAACACCAGGCTAGGCAATGCTGTGAATGCCTCAGTAGGTGACTAGACGTGATGTCTATCGTGATAATAAGGGTTGACTAATGTACTCCGACGAGTTTCAGCCACTGCGTTGGGTGATAAGGCCTATAAAAGTAAAAAACACAGCCAAGAGGGAATTTGGCTTTCCACAAAAACCATATGAACTGAAAGATTAACGTCTGTGAGTAGTGAAAGACGGAACTTGGCTTATTTCTTAAAATCACAAGCATCGGAGAGGAGTTTGCAGCGAAATTTTATCTAGTCAGAGTAATCTGCCTCGAATTCGACTTCAGTAAAATAGGTCAGCGGTGAACGCCTTTGACTGATAATCCGGCGTAAGTGGTTGGTGGTTGGTTGTTACTTTGACACGCTAACGTTATATATGAGGATTACAGCGTAAGACACTCCAAAAATCGTAGATGCAACACCCTGTTATTATACCAACAGTCTATTTCGCTTTAAAGAGCCAAGCTGCCACTTAGTTTTATTCTAGAGCTGCATCAGAACCCTGGATAGTGAATCTAGAACCCCCTTCAGCCCCAGGACTTTGCCATTGTACATTCAAACATCACTGATCTGCTGGTCAGGGTGAGCTATCTTCTGCGTCATTCAAAAATGGGGGCGAATTCCACAGTCAACGCTCGTTTTCAAGAATGGAACCTGCAGCGGGCGCGGTAATCACAGAGAGGTCCGCTTGACTTCAGTCCTAACGATACTCTTAGAGCCAATCATCCTTATTCACCATGTGATGCTCCGTAGAGCACTTAGTCGAAAGCGCCAAGCGGAATGTCAGCCTGGTGGTGATTAGGTCGACCAAATTTTCAGACTTCTTTAGATGGTAGAACGACGTCATACGTAAAACGATCCACAATCTTATTATTCCTAGATTTCCAGATTATTTACAACCCACATATCCGGTTCATACTTCTTAACACGTTCGTCAGCAAAAAACTTTTTAAGTTCTGTAAAATATAATGAATTTTTGTAGTTTAAGATTTACGGGTGTGATAATATGCTTGATGCTCCCCAAAAGCTTCCGTAAAAATGTGGTGTCTGTCAGGGCTGTCCATTGTCTCCATTCCTGTTTAATTTCGCGATGGGCGAGATAGTAAGACGAACAATGCAGGGTCTCCAAAACTCTGGTTTCATCATCATCATCATCATCAATGACAGCATGACATCAGTGTTCAACACCAATGCTTCACTGCCGTACAACCATGACTTATTTGAAAGCCTTATTGTAAAGAAAAGTGTAAAGGTGGATAGGAGACGGACTTAGTGCTAGCTTAACACAATCATTCCGAGGTGCCTACACCTCCAGACATTCACTCAGGCAATCTGGATAGAAACTGACAACAACAACGCCACTGACATGGGTTGGCAGCCATATCTTTTAGTGTCTCCAACCAGGCACAGTGAGGATCACGCGGTCCCCGTCCTGGAAGGCGGATAGCACCGACAGCACCCAAGCGTTTCGTGATCTCCTTCATACTCCATACTTCATACTCTGGTTTCCGAAGCTGCTGATGAACACTTTGTCGATCTGTAACATGCAGACGATATTAACCTCGTATTTGAGGATGAAAAGAAGGTTCATGTGTTTTAGATGAGCTAACCAAAGTCATCCAGTCTTTTGGTGTGTGCATCCAGGAAGTGCAGTCATAATTCTGGACGTGTAACAGCTAAATACGTTACTTAAAACCTACATAGAGGCACTAAGGGTTGTGAAGTAATTTATATATCGCGGAAATTGTAACAAACAAGATCAATGTACAAACTTCTGATGTTGGGATCGCGTTTGCTAATTTTCGACACCTAGAGTGGAAAATCGGTATATAATTGGATCTCAAGAAACGTGTACCAGGCTATAGTACGAGCTGGTTTGTGATACGGATGAAACATGACTTCTGAGAGCAGCCAAACTGAGACGTCCTCAGGTCTTTGACAACCATCGCATCGGAGCCATGCTTCGCGTAGGCTATTGTTGCGGAATCCTCAACCGGACTTCAACCAAATACGTGTCCAGCATCAGAAAAGGCGGTGGTTCGGTCACACCGAGAAGAACCCAATTCGGATTGACGAAAGCACAGGGGTGATCAAATTTTGACTCGGAATAGAGACATAAAGGGGATTATGAAAAGTTTGGGTATTGTTGGTGTGACTCGCCTCCCAGAATGGCGCATGCGTGTATGGTTGGAAACACTGCAAGGTAGGACTGCTAATTATTTTCAACGGCGTTCTTGTTGGTAGTTTCTATCGAGCTTGCCTAGTAGACCAGTGGACACCTTGGAATGATTGTGGTAGGTCAGGATTAAGTCCCTTCCTCATGCGTTTCTATTATCTTCTTCACGAATCGATCTTCAAGTGAAGTAAAGTTGTACAGTATTGTTGAATACTGGTTTCGTGTTTTCAGTGACGATGCTGATGACGAGTTGAAGTTTGTTAGTGGAGACCTGGTCCAGAACCAAGGGACGTTGGCCTCGTTGGGGTGAAATAGTAGTAGTCCCATTCAGTGGAAATGATGGCTCAGGACGGAGTTCAGAATGAGGAGGAAACTATCATGGAGTATCAATTGATTGCTGAGGCACTAAAAACTACCAACGGCCAGGAGATGGAGGTAATAAGGGGGAGACAAAAAGAAGATCAGATACAGATACGTAATCTTCCGGGATATTTCTGAACGAAAGGCATATTTTATTATTAGATGATCAATATCCCACAATTTTAGCGTAAGCCACAGCTTGTTCGTGGACGTGTGGTAGAATCGAAATGGTCCCAGAGAATCTGACATGCAGTTCATGAAAAATATGCATATGTCTCAGGTTCATCCTCGTGAAAAGTCGACAGAGTGTGTCGGAGAAGGCTAGCTTTGGATTAGCCTATATTCGATGTGAGCCAGACTTCACTGAGCAAAAGTATGTTAGGCGATTTTAGTGTCCCGGGATTGTTCGGTTTATTCAATTCGCAACAGAAACTAACGCGGTCGCCATGCAGATATCTCAGTGCGAATTCACCTGACAAACTGACGGGGTGATTTCCAGATTGATGAACGGGTTGGAAAACAGAAAGGCGTTTGCTGTCTTCTGAGACGGTTGTGATCAAGCTGTGAATGAATAACGGATGAAATCTAGGGTGTGGAGCCACCCGTGTGCTAGAAACTTAATGGAACAACAGTCCGAATGGAAGGATAAAACAGCTTTACGGCGCCCCCTTTAGTATCTCAGGGTTGAATGGCCAGGCAGAGGACGTTTTGATGATCACCAGGAGTAGATGCAAGGCGCAATGGTGACGCTTGCGGTCTGTCTTTCCTCGTTTCAATGTATCATTTTTTGGAGGTATGTCAGGTGGGAACAGACATTTGAGGTCGTATTCTGACAATGTTTTGTTTCAATTATTAGTAGCCCGGAAAGTATGCGGACAAAACATGTCAAGCTAGTTCAAAATAAAGACAGTTAGTACAATGTAGCTTTTAGGGGTGTCTTTGTTAAGGTCTCCAGCTCGCAAACTGTTAACTCAGAAACTGATAAGCTGATGGCTTTTAAATTTATTGGCATAGAGCATGAACTGATTGAAAGCGTCAGAGATTAGTTGGTTAGCCGGTGAGAGGTCAATCGTATGAAAATGAGACGAGCAAGTAAAGTCTAACACCTTTACTACCACAACATATTAATTGCTTCAAGAGTTAAACTGCCACGTCCAAAACGGCTGAAGCAACCGTGATATGCATTAGATTTCTGACGTTCAGTTATTTCTTTTAGAACCAGGAAGTAGCATTAACTGTCAGATATGGGAGGGGAAACGCGTGAGTGAGAGGAGAGATCGTTAGCTGGTTTACATCACCGATAAATAGAGAAGCCCCCGAGCACAAATGTTTTCTGCCTTTCCACCAACGTCCATCTTGGCCGAGGCCAAAGCTCCTATCACACGCTCAAAGTTTCGTACACTTAATCGGTTGCGCACGTGAGAAAAGTGGCGCATATCTTCGTTGCATGTCCTTGATTTGGATGACAATATTGGCAAGGGTCAGGACACCATCAGTCAACTACACTCCCAGCGCAATTGTTCCGAAACAGCCGGGTGACGGTTTGTTTTCGGAGGCCACAGCCTATCCACTGCGGCGAGCATTAAAAGGGAAATATTTCACGTAATGATATAATTACCACCCCTAAATGGATTAAGGGCATGGAAAAAAGGTATGCATGAAAAAATCGCAGTTAGGGGCAGGTAGGAATGGATAATGAGCGGCCGAGAATCCATCAGGGATTTTGGAAACAAGGTTTACGAGCACGGCATTATATGCCATTGGCAACAAGCACTGCACATGGGCAACTACCATAGCTGCTGGATGATATGACGTACTGGGACAACTAAGTGGGCATTGAATAGAAGTTAAGAGTTGAATGTCTGGTATAGCAGTGACCGATACAACCCGCTACAGAAAATCATTTGAAGTCACACAATCAAAGATAAAGTTTGCAATGGATCGGGTTATTTTGGTAGCATTCTGACCTGAATTCTGCGCAGACCTCCCCGAACCTGATCCCCTGATGTCGAGTAGAAGTGCTACACCCAAGGATTCGCCCACGACCAGCAATATGAATTCTGTTTCAATGTCTTCTTCAGTAAAAAGGCATACGCCGGAAGGCGGTTTCCTGAGTAGCCTGTCATGGAATGCAGATAGAACACTGCAGCGTCATTATGGACTCCGACGGTTTTACTGACACTCTTTGCGTAGAACTGATAGCAAAATACGAACTGCTTGTGTCCTATCGAGGCCATTTCAAACGTAAATTAAGAAACGTTCACTCCAAGATTTTACAATAATTGCTGTTCCCACTCAAAACGTCCAAATATGTTATCCACTCACTTTCCGATTATTTCTTGTAGGTCATACAGATCATCAAATTGTGCATCCGTTTCGGCCATTCGGTTAATCAGCTCAAAAAAGCTTGGAAAGATTCACCATATAAGTGCGACGAAGGTCCAACCTAAGTACTTCGACAATGGACGTCAAAAATCAAACCTCTGGCGCATGAGAAGTTCATTCATACATCGAAAATCAACGCATTAGAACAACAGTTCACTCCGACCCAAAGCTCGCATCACTATAGAAGTTTTCACAGCTAAGCAGTTGCCTATTTTTTGCGTTTGACAATATGTCGACCAGAGGTGGGCCGGAAATGGGATGACATATCCGCAGTAGCAGAAGTTAAAGCTATAGAATAATAAAAGTCTATCGATATCTGAGGGACGAAATGACGGTTTGCAGAATACAGTGTTTCGAAACAACTACATTATCGGTACAAAAGCTTATGATTAGTGTGCTCCTCTCTGGTCGCTTTGTATACGTGATTGCAAGCGATTTTTCGAGGTCAATAGTCACCTCGAATCAGCAAAATCTGCGTGCTGGTATAAAGTATTTCAAGTCACGAAATAAGTGACAGCAAATAATAGGGCACGTTATAGGCACTTCTCTTGTCAGAATGTTGTGTGCTGTTTTAGTATGGCTGAAATGTTGCTCCTGTGTCTACATTTTTTGGTATCACCTTTGTGGTGTTTCTTATCTCCCTTTTGCTTCCACCATAACATTACGTATTTTGTCAATTGCATAAGCGATTTTGTTTGAATACGGGAAACTACAAAAACGCGCATTTGTAAAATTACAATTAATACAAACGTGGTTACGTCCTTTAATTTCTGGTTTCGCTCGTGCTTATAGTGATCATTCGCGAGTGTCATCTGCTATCAAGACATTTCGGACTATCATCGGAATTTATTATATGTAAGAACTGTTAACAAGAAACCCCTGGACAACCATGGTTGGGTTATTATTTATTCACGACGAACCACCTTAGGAAAACAACTCTTAGTGAATCTGTTCCACTTCGTCCCTTTCATTATTCTATACACAATCTAGCCTTATTAATTTTATTTCCTTGCCACACACTTCTGGTAAACTATCTTTTAGGGTGGCCAGACCACCACACCTTTAAATAGACACCTGCAGAAATGTTCATTCTTAACGCTGATAGAGCTATTGAACGTGGTTGACATTATTATGGCATTCACCTGACTCATACGAGAGCGAGAGAAAGTAATTTCTCCATCAAATAACTTTTGTCCATTGAGATCCAACTAACCGACACCAGCTCCGAACGCTGTCACAATTTGTTACCCAAATCGAATGCTATCAGGCAAAATTTTTAACATCACCCCAAGGTCTTTGTCCTCTCAAGTATTGCCGCGGTTTGGACATTTTGTTGAGTAGTGGATGGTTCACAGTCAGCGCCACGATGATCTCACTTGGGTTGGTGTCAATGTTATATGCCATGGACAGCCAAATGTGAGGCTTGTCGCTGGACCCCACTGAGACTCGAGGAAAAATCTCAAGTTAAGGTGGATCAGCCACGTATGCGGGCTGCATGCAGCTCAAAACTCTATGACGATCTAGTACAATGAACCTGTCCCACGTGAATAACTATCATGCAACGCGGTCCCTACGGCACCCAGTTAACTTGCTGCATGTAGCTCATGTCGTGTCATTTATCTAGCTATACGAACACTCCCTACATGCGCGACTAACGTATGCGCAGTCTATGGTGCCTAATCAAATTACGAGAAGCTAAGCGCATAAGATTCGTCCAGTCCTGCACGAGGAAGCCGCTAGTGGAACTCCAGCAAGGGGACATATCACTATTTGTTAGGCGCTTCGTTGAAATCTTGTGATATATGCACGGGTATGCTATGCATCCCTTGGTGATTCGTGTTTGTGGCAGCGTTGGGGTCACAAACGAAGCAGAATGAGAAGGGAAGTCGTAGCCTTATCTAAAAATCAAACCGTCAGTGTGGTTAACAGCAACTCCTATTATCTACCCACTTAGCGTAACTTTGCGCTGCCAGGTGAACGCTTATGAGCTGGCATTCATGTATGGTCAAGCAGTTACCACACAACTTACTAGCAACGCCCCATACTTTTGACACCTTAAGGAGAATTTACATTAAAATCTAACAAATGCAATTTAGAGTGATACAAGTTTAGCTGAATAGAATTGCTAATGCAGCAGCTGAATGCATTGAACAAAATAACCCCGCAAAACATGACACCAACTGGAGCAGGACAAGCGCGATTGTCTAAACACTTTTATACTGCCCGGCAATCCGTGAATTATGTGGCATAAAGTTATCTGACGTTTTTGCTTCTGCTACTAGGATATTGTTACCTCGGACACTCTTGATCAAAGGAACCTCAAAACAAGATTAGGTGCATACGTATTCACTACGCGAACCACATTTACAAGGCATCTTTCTCAATCTATGACCTCTATTTATTGACTTTCGTATGGCGGCTCACCCAATACTTCCGCATCGACTAGTTTGCGTTCCGAAAAACACTTTATGGGTATCCGAGGCTTTCGATTCGTACGCTCTCTCCTAGACCGCCATTAGCTCTTTCCAGGTAGTAACGCTGTGCCTTAGGCGCACACCTGAAATTTCTATGGAACCATAGTTCGAAGGAGGGAAACCTCAATATAAATATTCAGCATTTGAAGGCATTTTTTCGAAATTTGAGATCTCCTAATGCGGCCTCAGTTTTGTTCGAGGTTGTTAAAACGTACGCAAGGCCCACTACTGGCAAGAAATTTACGTTTTCATTGACTGCCGTGGTTGAGCTCCTTTTGTCCTTGATGTCGGGGACGATCATGTAGAGGAGTCAGCTCATCCATGTTTCCACTTGTTCAATGCATTTTGGATCACCTTGAGAGAATGCACGACCATTATTTCGTAGTTTTGTCCGCACAAACTTGAACGTGAGCAGAAATTTTCTACGTATATATGAGCAGCAGGCATCCCCGCAGACGAAGTCAAGGCCGGAGACTTCGTGCTAGTAAAGTTTAGGTAAAGGGGCGCAGTCCCCCTTTGAATGGTGCTCCGTCTTCAAAGGCTCGCAAATACGTCGCAGGCTATTTCGGGAAGGTGTTGACTATTCAGGATGTAAGCACCTATTGCGTCAACCGATAGCCCCCTTGTTAAGTAGATTGGTGTTTACGTTTTTCAATTCTTAGATGATATATCATCGATTATAGCCAAGGTTCGAAAATGTGGTCATGTACTTTTGGCAAAATCCGAGGGTGGTAGTTTTAGCCACGTGTTTTCCCGCACACAGCAGATCACAACATTTCGACGCTTCCTGTCTTTAGTAAATGTTGTTGCAATGCGTGGGACGGACCGCCTTAGGTAAATTATTTAGAGTCTCTGACGTTCACTGTGAAAATCAAGCTATATACCTTCCTTGTGATGAAAGGCATGGGAATCGGCGACTGATGGTGTATGCCTTCGTCAAAAGTGTGCATTGTGTGCTTTTGCATAAGCTGCTGTGCTTTTTCAAGGACGTGCTGTGCTA